GTGAAGCATGGGCATCCCCTACCCATATATCACCGCATTACTCTATTTACGACCTGATGTGGTTCTTGTAAATGTAAAAGATGGCAGAAGGAGTAAGGTACTTACTGGGGTGGTACAAGGAACCGAACATTTTTCTAAGATCTTTAGTGGATGCACGAGATCCATTTGAGGTCTGGGTAGAGTTCCGTGAATGTTGGAGCTGGTGGAAATAAGGAATTCTTTGTTTTGGATTACAAATATTATTGCCCAGTCGATGGTAGTTGACCCATGTTGTTGGTATCTAACCTAAGAAACTTTTAACGCGCCTGCCTATGTTCAAATCATCACTTTCGATCACAGAAATTACGTAGTGTCGAGACCAGTCAGCAATTACACCCCTGTGCAAATTAATTGAATCAAAAAGAATAATTCCATAATTATTTACTTTTTTTGTATTTTTCCAATGAAACATGACCCAGTGCACATGTTAGTACTTCGTATGTCCATTCCACGAAGTCGTTCCTCGGAGATTGACCACAGATTCTCGATTGGATTTAAATCAGGAGAGTTTCCGAGCCAGTCGATAGTACTTTGATTTGCTCACTAGTAAGGCTTGCCAGCGTGTTCGGGCAGCGTTACAATTTTCGTACGCTTCCTTGGAGTAGTGTCCAGCGCAGTCAATAGCCGTAGGACGACTAATTGACAGTGGAGACAATAGTGACTGGGCGTGATAAAAATCTGATATAATCACGGATGAGGCAATATTTCTCAAGGCCAAAATAAATTTCATCATGCACCCCGAAAATAGATTCATATTACTGCACACGACTGCAAATGACCTAATCCAAGGAAAAAATAGAAATCGATTACACTCTGTCGCTTCAGTGGGTCTAAAATTGACCGAATGGCGAGAGAAAGGAAACTAAAGCAGTTGTTTCATTTAATTTGCACAAGAGTATAGATGAAGGTCCAACTGCGAACATCGGATAAGCTCGTTCAATCCAAATTTTTTTTTTGGCTTTAAATAACCCACAAATGTTTGCAATGACTTAAAAAACAAATATATCAAACACTTATTTACGAACCTATTAAGGCTGCGCACTTTTCTTTCTATCGGACCCAAAATTTTTCTTTGTCTAAAAAAAATGTAAACTATTTCACATTTTTTCTCACAAATACACATAGACACACCCGGACACATTTTCACAGACAAACACTCGATATCCTTATGTTTTTTTATCATACATGCACACACATAGAATTATGCGTAGAGATATTCGATATGAACGCCGGAAGTGAGTTAGACACCTGAGCTAAGAATCACAACTCGATGCCAAAGAAATCGATATAAACTGAGATACAAAGTTCAACTGATCTGGAATTTAACCAGTGTGAAAAGAGGTTTGGTGTTAATAGCGGAAACGTAATTGACTCCTAAGCCGTTGCCCGTTGCCAAAGTGTTATGGTCCGGTTCCTTGTACCACGGTGATAGTCCAAGGTAGAACCAATAAAGAAGAACTCGAACACAGGTATGGAATAACACAGATATATTACAAACAGGAATATATGCAGAGAAGTAGAAAGTGTTAGTTCGAACAATCAGGTTTAGTAGAGAGAACAATATAGTCTCGACCAGTATCACTATTCCAATGTCTTGTAGTAATTGTCTGAACGCGACTCTGTTTCGGACTGCCTCTGACTCGACACTTGACTCGACTTGAACTACTGACGATATTCAGTCACCCCCACGAGGGTGTCATGTGGCACAAGGCCTTTTTAACGTGGGCATTTCCGAGCCATTAGGCTCAGCCAAAAAATAGCCCATTTGAACCCGTATAAACAGGTTCAGGGCCGGTTTTACCTCCCCGAAGGAGACTCCGCCCCGTATAAACGGGTTCGGGCCGTAGCCTCCTTCGTAGCCTTCTTCCCGCCCGAAAGCAGAGAGTTAAACCGAACCGTTCGCTCAGAAAGTGGGCGACGGACTATATTTAGTCGTCCCCCCACGAGGGCGTCATGTGGCACAAGGCCTTTTTAACGTGGGCTTTCCGAGCCATTTGGCTCGGCCAAAAAATAGCCCATTTGAACCCGTATAAACGGGTTCAGGGCCGGTTTTACCTCCCCGAAGGAGACTCCGCCCTTCGGCGTAGCCTCCTTCGGGTTCCTCCCGCCCGAAAGCAGAGAGTTAAACCGAACCGTTCGCTCAGAAAGTGGGCGACGGACTATATTTAGTCGTCCCCACGAGGGCGTCATGTGGCACAAGGCCTTTTTAACGTGGGCGTTCCGAGCCATTAGGCTCGGCCAAAAAATAGCCCATTTGAAACCGTATAAACGGGTTTTTTACCTCCCCGAAGGAGACTCCGGGCGTAGCCTTTCGGGTTCCTCCCGCCCGAAAGCAGAGAGTTAAACCGAACCGTTCGTTCGAAAGTGGGCGACAACTATATTTAGTCGTCCCCCCCACGAGGGCGTCATGTGGCACAAGGCCTTTTTATTTGAAACTCGGCCATAAAAACCGTATAACGTTCAGGGCCGTTTTACCTCCCCGAAGGAGACTCCGCCCTTCGGCGTAGCCTCCTTCGGGTTCCTTCCGCCCGAAAGCAGAGAGTTAAACCGAACCGTTCGCTCAGAAAGTGAGCGGCGGACTCCTTGCCTACTCCTGACGCGCAGTATTTATTAAGCATGGAATAGTCCATTATTATTATTATGGGTAAGATCCCATAACATTAATATAAGGACCACCACAAAAAAATATGATACTTTCTAGAAGCCTTTTATTTTAGTTTTAATTTCAAGCTAATATATTAAATTTAATACTTCCAATAATCAAAATAATTTGCTCTGTGACATAAATACCTATTTACATTATTATTATTTTCTAATACTATCAAATAATAAACTAATGCAGAGATAATTACTACATATTAATTGTTATGGTCCGGTTCCTTGTACTACGGTGATAGTCCAAGGTAGAACCAATAAAGAAGAACTCAAACACAGGTATGGAATAACACAGATATATTACAAACAGGAATATATACAGAGAAGTAGAAGTGTTAGTATGGACAATCAGGTTTACTAGAGAGAACAATGTAGTCTCGACCAGTATCACTATTCCAATGTCTTGCATTAATTGTCTGAACGCGACTCTGTTTCGAACTGCCTCTGACTTGACTCTTGACTCGACTTGAACTACTCATTCTCGCCTACTGACTGAGGTGCAGTATTTATTAAGTATGGAATAGTCTATTATTATTATTATGGGTAAGATCCCATAACACAAAGGTATTGACATATTTTGAAATAGAAAGCTCAGTAGACTTGGAATTTGATCCGTTTCATGAAATGTTCGGCGTGAACATCAGAAACGTGATTGGTTCCTGAGCCAAGAGTCACTGCACGATGCCAAAAAATATTAAGAAATTTTGAGATACAAATCTCAGTAGATCTGGAATTTGACCAATGTAAAAAAAGCGTTCTGTGTGAACAACAGAAACGTAATTCACTCTTGAATCAAGAGTCACTTCTCGTTGTCAAAGATATGGATATATTTGGAGATACGAGCCATACGAAGTCCAATAGTTCTGGAATTTGACCATTGTGATGAGATGTGATTAATTCATGAGTTAAGAGTTATTGTTCGATGCCATATATATATATATATATATATATATATATATATATATATATATATATGTGTGTTTGTGTGTGTGTGTATCTGTCTATATTTCTGAGATGATGTATTATGTACACTATTTACATTATTCGGAACATTGTCCTCATATTTGTCGCCATATTTATTACAACGTTTCAGCCGTTGTACGCTCCGGCCTTCTTCAGGTGGTTGGAATGTCGAACTGAACCCTTTATTTCTCTCACTGAAGTAGAATGTTCTAGTTCCACGTGCCATGTATAATAAATGTCAGTTGTCAGTTATCTCCTGTTAATTCCCCTCTCCAAGTTCTCCACTGCCTTAACCGGGTATTGAACTCGCACTAATGCATTTATACACCGTGCCATGTGTCCTTGAGGACACATGGCACAGTGGATAAAGGCATTAGTTAGATCTAGTGACAGGATCCAAAGAGTGTAAATTCAATATATATATATATATATATATATATATATATAATGATGAAGCGGAGACTTTAGAAATCTATGGTAATAATTTATTTCGCGAGATAAATCAGATCTTGTCTCTTCAGACCAAACAATATATACAAGTCTCAACAGATTTTGTAAATGAGCAGATGACTACGAGCTGATTGACGATACAAAAGAAAACGTGTGGGAGAAAATAAAATGGAAAGAAAAGATCACTGCATTGCCATTCTTTTCTAATTGGAACCTGACCATCGATTCTTGTATTTGTTCTTTAACGTACCATTCCATATATATATATATATATATATATATATATATATATATATAAGTAACAAAAATCTTGGTAATCCGTATGGATAATCCCAAGGAGGAAGAAATTCTGAGAGCTCAATGTTAATTCAGAGCGAATAATTTAATTTAAAGAAAAACAGACCACTTTAAGGCTCCATTGTAATAATTTATTTCACCAGAGATTTTTTTTTCGTTTCACCCTTTGAAAGTGACGACTTAAGATCTAGGGAAAAATAAAAGTCTCTGGTGAAATAAATTATTACAATGGAACCTTAAAGTGGTCTGTTTTCTTTTTATATATATATATATATATATATATATATATATATATAAAAATATATATATATAAAAAAATATAAAAATAAAATCCCAGATCACCTCATATGGAAAGTTTATTGTTCATATTACTAAGATTGACTTGGAGTTTTGTTATCTTTAATATATATAGTTTTAAGGTATGCTATCTTTATGAGCTCAATATCAGCGTTAGTGCTTATGGAAATATAAAATTGGGCATTGAGATCACCCATCTAGATAGTGGCTAGGCTTGACGTTGCTTAACTTCTGTGATCGGACGAGAACCGGTGTTTTAGCGTGATATGACCGTACGCTACACCAGCATTATATCCAAGCTTACAGAACCTGTAATTCCAAAGTGGTCACCCATTTAGGTACTGACTGGGCTTGACGTTGCTTAACTTCTGTGATCGGACGAGAACCGGTGTTTTAGCGTGATATGGAACGAGAACCGGTGACGTTTTAACGTGATATGTTTTACCGTATGACCGTACACCACCAGCATTATATCCAAGCTTACAGAAACTGTAATTCTAAAGTGGTCACCCATTTAAGGTACTGACTAGGCTTGACGTTGCTTAACTTCTGTGATCGGACAAGAACCGGCGCTTCATCGTAACCTGACCGTAAGCCTGAGTTGAAGTGGAAAATGGAAAGAGAGGAAGTTCTGAAAATAGCGAGAACGAACTGCGGAAGTCAGAAAAAGAAAGAAACGAGAAGGAAAGAGAGGAAGAAAAAAAATAAGAGGGAAGACGAAGGAAGGGAGAAACAAAAACAAAATGGACAACGATGCAGAAGATGGTGATTTTGCTGTGGCCATACGACAATAGGTATTGTGATTTACAGATGCGAAGAGCAATTCAATCGCATGAAGAATAGCGTTTCAAAGCAAGATGGCCAATAAAAGCTGGCTCTCCTACAAACGGTGACCATTATCTGTAGCCACGTGGATCCAATTGGTAGAGGCTTGACCAGGCTGGACAAACGAGCTTTAATTTGCACTGAGTTTAATGACAGCGAAACTGCTTCCTTCCGAACCTATTGTCCAATCGCTGACAACGACTCATATTCGTTTCCATGCCTACGGGAGCACCCGATTGCTGCTTGAAATATATATATATATATATTATCTTCTCTCTTCTTTTGAGCACCAGCTTTAGATAAAACCGACTTTTAGCAAGTATCGAAAAATGGCCGCTGGCAACAGAAGGATTTAGGCACCTTTTACAGCCATTGCTGTAACTAAAATTTATTTAGTTCTAATTTTAGAGTTTTTTCCCCCCTTTTTACTCTTAATGTTAGGTCCCTTCAGAGCGAAAGAATTCCAAATATTCCTTTTCTTTACTATCTGCAAATCACCACGATTTGTGGGCCAGGAAAATTACAGCTACGACTGTCATAAGTAAAACGCCGATGAAACAAAAAAAAAATGGCGATGTGTTGAGCGATCTTGCATCACTGTTAATCTGTCATTGCATTTAAACAAAAATAAAGTTTTAATTTTTTTTTAATTTTATTCCTTTTATTTATTTTTTTTAAAAAATATGATTAGTACCTAAGCATTTAAAAAAAAATTATCGTAATTGCCATTGAAAGTTTCAAAAAATTATCAGAGGTAAGCAATTATCCAGGGATGCATTTGTCTAAAGACACAAATGTCCTGGGACACAATTGTCTGGTACGTAATTGTCGACGACGCAAATGTCTAATACGCAACAATCAGCCGGACCCTCGCGGAGTCTGCTAACAGGTTGACAAATAATCCCACCTTGTATCTCGATTTTTGTTCGCGTCTGTGTTCGCCAAAAAAACTGGTAAGGGACCCGTGCGCGTTCGCAAGGAAAACTAAAAACGAAATTAGCGTAGATTTGAAGAATGAAAACGCGTATCTTTATCCGATATATTTGATTATCTCTTAGGCCTGGGGAGCAGGTAACTATTTAAGTAACACTTGTGAAAATGCTACTTCTGTCGTGTCAGACTAACGGACCAGATTTTCTTTTAGGCCAGCGAGAACGGCGACTCTCACCTGCTATCCCATTCCCACCCTCGTTCTCTAAATCACGACACGCAGAAGGTGTCATGTATTTTTTAGAAAATCAATTCACCACAAGCAAGGTAATAATGCCACTAAGACGCAAGGAACTACTAAACAGGAAAGAGAAGAAAAAAGACTTTAGAAAGAACCAGAAACACCAACCCGGAACAGAAAACTGTAGAAAAATCACGTGGTAGAGATAAACACTCAGTTGTGGAGCAAGCTAAGTGAATAATAATCCAACCTTTAGAAAGAGAGCTATTTATGTTGCCATGGAGCATCTCATTGTGCTAAAGTGGGATAGTCCATTGCTTGGGCTGTGATTGACTGCTGGTACCTGAGTGGAGGTATTTCTATATAAATACCAGCTTGATTCATCAGTTAGTTTGCAGGGTTTGTATTTAGTTACAACCTGCTTTATTTTTGTCTGCCAGCTGGACGCTAGCTGGGACCTTTACACCGGTAAGTGCTGTTTATTATTGTTATTCTACAAAAACAAGGGATAAACCTTTACTCCTATTCAAAACACCAAGGAGAAGTGTGAACAGGGCGATAGGCGAACCTGTCTAATTCTATCGAGGAAAAATAGAAATTAATAAATAAATAGTATAGATTTTAGGAGTTCAGGCGGAGACGTTAACAAATAGAAAGAATCGGAAATTCCAGTCCTAAACAGGAAATAAGGGATAAAACTCTAATCCTGTTCAAAAGGCAGGGACGGGGTGTGATTTGGAACCCATCCACGTACATCAGCCAAAGGAAGGGAAGCAGAAATGCTGTTTTTTTATTGGTAGATTTGTTTGAGGTGTGGTATGGAATGCTTAAATTATTGCTTGTCTTATTTAATCGCATGGCGGCGAACATAATATTAGGCTGATCGGAGAGTAGTATCGTTTTTAAGATGGCGGCATTTGTAGCAAAGGCTACGTCAAAAAAATAATCCTTATCAACAATGGAAAACGCGGATTATGTTTTTGGAAGAATCTGAGACTCCTAAAGAAAAGACTTCCGATAATGCTGAACTGTACTTACCCGACTTTTTCGTCATTTAGAAAGTGTTCCGGCGAACTGATTAAAAGAACGATGCCAAGTTGAATTCAGAAGACACGCGAGCCAGTAGGATTTGATCTTCTTCATTTCATTTCATTGAGCGTGAGTTTCAATTGTCGTTCAGATGAAAGAGAAACTTTTTGTTGATCAAACTTCATGATTTTGCATCTAATTGTTTTCTCTTCATGCGTTATCCATAATAGAAGATATGGATTCAAAATTTTATTTTCATAATTAACGCTCCGTTGTTACTGTGTGGCATTGATGCATCAAAACACTCAATATTATATATATATATATATATATATACATATATATCATTTAGTTCTTAAACATGATGCTGTATATGTTATTTTGTAAGAAACAAAGAAAAGAGTAATGAAATTTTATGTACAAGGGTGGGGGTGAAAAGAAAAAACACTTGGGAAAAACAATGCAATCATTATTAAAAAGGGTTAAAATTAATGCATACAGCTCAAGTATCACACCTTTATACTGAGCCTATGAAGGTTTTAGACCCACCCACATACCTGGAAAGGAAAAATATAATCATACTTATTATAAAACCCAGGTTGTGTGTGTGTGTGTGTGTGTCTGTTCGTTTATATATTGGATCGGATTTCCTACATTTTTCAACCGATGTCAACAAAACTTCACAGGACTACGTAAAATTACCTTGCGGTGGTTCTGACAACGCCAAAAATTGGAAAAACACAATTGTTTTTGCACTAAATCAATTTGAAAACACGATTAACAGGCATCGCTGTCGCAAGAATGAAAGGAGTACAACTCATATCAAGTTATACTTATAAAACCCAGGTTGTTTGTGTGTGTGTGTTCGTTTATATATGGGATCAATCAATTTGAAAACACGATTAAGAGGCATCGCGAGAATGAAAGGGGGACAACTCATATCGAGTTATACTTATTATAAAACCCAGGTTGTTTGTGTGTGTGTGTTCTCGTTTATATATGGGATCGGATTTCCTACATTTTTCAACCGATTTTAACAAAACTTCATTTTTTTTTTGGCAATTAGTGTTTCTTATTATCTTGCACACTTTTTTTTTTTTTATTTTTACGTTCAGAATGCTTTAAAAATTCCATTTACAAGACAATTGTTTATAATAAAATTCTATTCAATCGGTAGACTCATAACGATTGAAAACAATGTTTTTCTTTGAGTTTGGGTTTGACCAATTCGTAAAAAAAAAAAAAAAAATAAACTAATTAAGGCATGCGTGTCCAGCAACTTTAAACAATAATCTTTATCAATTTTATGTTTCAGTCTTTATGATGGTCGATACTTGATCTATCACTTACTGTTACATCACCGGGCAACGCCGGGCTCTACTGCTAGTTATTAATAAGATGAGTGGAAAGTAATGCTTCCATTGTTTTTACAGTTCTAGTGTCACTCCTTTATAGGCAGCCTATAAATATTTCAGCACCCTTTCTAATACAAGTCCTCTTATGTTGCAGTCATTCGTAATGGTAATGATCATATTAACTGTTTCATTATAAGGAGACATTCGACATTTATTGATTGAACATCCACTGCAGCTGTCGATCGAAATTTATAAAATCTTTTTCTTAAAAGAAATTTTTTTCAGGAAAATAGATTTCTCAAGTCCATTAACTGTCATTGCTATTTCCTTGGAATATGTAAATCTAGCAATTTCAAATTTTAACTATGTGTGGAATATTTTAACAGATATCCAATAATATGACACCGCAATCCGAATATGCATCGGAACAGTAAAATATTTCTTCTAAAAGTAAAAGCAAAGAATAAAGAATATTTCATTAAGAACAAAGAAAAGTGTGTCGAACTGCTATGTAATATCAATCCTACTACATGTCTGTCAATGATGATTAGACTTAAGACAACAGAAATATAGTTCTACAGAAGGATGCTGAGTATGTCATGGACGGGACATGTGATCAACGCTGGATTTTAAGAAAAATGGAAATATAATCAAAATTATAGAATCAGAACGAGATGGTTGAAATTTCTGTCACGCATAATGAGAAAAGAAGGCTTGGAAAATTTGACACTCACAGAACAAAGCAAGAGGGATAGAATAAAAACAAACGAGTTTCTACAAATGATTGTTACAACAGATTGAATTTAAACATGTAACAATATGGTGATTTAAACATGTATCAATATGGTCTTTCAATGATAATGTGATTAAGCTTATCAGACAATATGAAAGGAACTTACTTAAAATAAAAAGACAAAACTTGTCTATATTATTTAATGAATCATGCATCAATGAAAAATTGCTGCCTAAATATAGACAACATATATGTGTGTGTGCGTGTTAGTGTGTATGCGCGTATAAG